GTGACAGATTAGGGAGGTGGGGAGAAAGTAAAGGGGGGACCTCTGGGATTGGATAAAAAGTAAAATGATAGAGCGTGCTTCTTTGACATGGTGGATGCAGGTTAGTTAACAATCAGCAATTAACACGATAACAATAGCAGGGAGGGAATGTGTGGTCTGCGCCCTGGGACATGGGTTGTGCCCCGAGGGGCCTGGGAAAAGGGAAGTTACTAGTCACCCCGACATTCCACAGGTGTGTTATCAGATGCACAAAGACAGTAGGCTCAGTAGCGATCAAAGTTGATCTTTGTCAAGGAAGATACTGGCCTAGAACATGACTACCCTCCATAAACTGCTGTTTAATGAAAGGCTTTTAATTTCAGACCATCCTTGGGGGTTAGTTTAGGTCTTGACTTTGCAAGGCTGCCATGCAGGCGAGCCCTGAGCTCGTCAGGTTAGCATGTGGCTCTTTTCTTCGTCCACACACGTCCGCAAAAACACAACAAGTTCATGCCCTGTGGGCACACCCGGCGCCTCACTTCTCTCTTCTCTCTCTCAATCCACGTTGCTGTTTGCCTGCTCAGAATGGCATGGCCGCGCCTGCCTTAACGAGGCCGCTTACCCACATTCCCCGCATGTGGGCAAGGCAGCCGCCAAACCGCCAACCCCCAGCCCGGGTTTCCCCACCAGCCTTGGAACAGCGGGTTCCGTGGACACGAAAGGAAAGCATTTCTGCGAACAACACCTCATGGATGTTTGTACAAAATAATTCCCAGAACGAGCCCTTAAAGGGGAGATAGTCACATGCATTCAACTTGCAAATCCATTAATTTCTTTACTAAGTAGCCTGGCATTTTCGCTGCTTCGTTAAAGGGGGGAGGGAGGAGTTCCGTCCACTCTAAGTCTGGCCTAATCAATGCTAACGAATGTTTGTATATATCTAAAAACCATAGTTAAGCCATTAGTATCACAACAAGGATGATTCCTAAGAGCAGTCAAACAAGAGCCCATGAGTGTGGGGGGTCCGTGGCGGGCAGTTCCTCTGCTTCCATTAGGATTCTGCAGACGAGCATCGTCTCTATTCCTGTCCCACTTTCCATTTCCTTGGTAACCGTGATCCGGACACAGGATTCAGGTTCAAGGACCACAGGAGGCGGGCGCAGGCGGCGGGGAGCGGGGAGCGTGCCTGAGCCGCCTCCTCACTGATAAGGGGACAAAGGAGGCGGGAGGAGCCGCCGAGGAGCCGTGTTTGCTGTTCCCGTCCTGTCCCTTTGAACGTCCGATGTTCCGCTTGACTTTCTGCCCCAAGTATTTTGCAGAGTCGCCTCTGACTGAAGGCAGCCCGAGGGGAACGTGCCAGAAGCCGGGCAGCCAGAGAGAGCGGCCACTTCGCTTATCCTGAAACCCGCACACTGGGTGGGGGTCTGCCTCCCGGGCTGAGCTAAGGGGAGGGAGTCTCCTCAAGTCCCAGCTCCGTGCTCAGCGCCCTGGGCTCCCCGCCCTCCAGCCCACGGCCACATGCCTGGCCGCGACTTACACGCATCGGGCCTGGTGCCAGCAGGTGGGAACCTGCAGAGCGAACTGAGCAGGTGCATACTGGGCTAAGGATTTAACAGTTAACGTTGCCA